GAGTTAACAAATACAACCATTGGAAAAACACAACCAACAACTGAGTACAGGTAATTTCCATCTTATGTGAGCATTTGCTTTTGGGAAGCCACGCATATTCGCAAAAATGCCTAAAGACAGAAATCTGCAGAACCACCCTGCCCACCCCCAGCAAGGAGGGCTGCTTAGCTGGCTTCGGGAAGGCACATGCTCAGCTTGGGAGAGAATTTGTAAAGGCTCTGGCAGCGTCCTGGAGTCCTCCCACCTCCTTTCCAAAGCCTTTTAAGCACTTGCCCAGCTTTGGGAAGGAGGCACAAGGGCTGTGGCACCCTGCCAGAGCCCTTGCACTGACTTCCCTAAGCTGGGTAAGCCTACGATCGCAGCTTTGTAGGGGCACGTGGAAACAAGTAAATGGAGAATGGGTTTCTTCCACCCTCCATTCATTTAATTATTTTCCGCCCATCCATGTAAGCGGAATCCAAGTTAAATAAGCGTAAGATGTGAGATACCTGTACAACTGAGCACACAGCAGTATAAGTGTTGCGAGAATAGAGAAATGAATCTCTAACAAAATATTGTTTTTGCTTGCTGGAAAAGTAGAATTTTGTATGGTGAGTCGGCTACTTTGGCATCTATAGTGCAAACACAGTAACACTGAGTTATTCAATAAAACTGAATGTTGGTAGCAGAGGGAGAACAGACTACAGTTTTTAAATAACTTACACAGCCAATACTCTGCCACTGCAAACAAACATTAACTCAAAGGCAATTTTTTTTAAAAAAAAGTTTCCCGATTAAAATAAGTCATTCAGCAAATATCAATTCACAATCCGTTGTCACTTGACATGACAAAGCCATCTCTCAGTGGCAGAATACATGCTTTGCACACAGAAGGTCCCAGTCCCAGTCCTGGGATCTCCAGTTAATCATAATCACAGGCAGATAAAGTCAAAGTCCAGGGAGAGTGGATTAGATCAGGGGTCACCAACCCAGTGCCCATAGATGCAATGGGACCCACAAAGGCTTTTACTTCTGCTCCTGGGCAGGGGCTCCAGACCCTAAGCTTTCTTTTTATTTTATTCTTAAAGTAAATCTCTAGCTCCTAAAGAAATGTGCAGGTACCTTCTAAGTGATTTCTGTGAAATGAGAATGAGTGTGATGTGGCTATCCTGGTTGTGGGGAAGCTCCATGTTGCTATTAAGGCAACAACACAATTACAGCAAGTGTGTGTGCGTGTAAAATCAATATTATGTTATCAGGACCATCAGGACATAGCTGACTTCCTACGATAAGTATAAGGTTCATAGAATCACAGAATTGTAATAATAATAATAATATTTTTTTTATTTATATGCTGCCCTCCCCAGCCGAGGCCGGGCTCAGGGCGGCTAACAGGTCCTCTAGTCCAACCCCCTGTGATTTAGGAATCTCATCTAGATCATACGTGACAGGTGGCCATTCAATCTCTGCTTTAAAACCTCCAAGGAACAAGAGTCCATCTCCTCTTGTGAGAGTCTGTTCCATTGTTGAACCGCTGTCAGGAAGTTCTTCCTGGTGTTTAGTTAGAATCTCCTTTCTCATAACTTGAATCCAATGGTTTTGGTCCTAGCCTCTGCAGCAGGAGTAAACAAGATGCTCCATCCTCCATGTGACAAACACTTTCGATATTTGAAGATGGCTATCATGAAAGATCAATCGGTAGAGCATGAGACTCTTAATCTCAGGGTTTGAACCCCATGTTTGGCAAAAGATTCCTGCATTTCAGGAGGTTGCACTAGATGATCCTCGTGGTCTTTTCCAACTCTATGATACTATAATCTCCTCTCAGACTCTTCTTTACTTGACTAAACATACCCAGGTTCCCTCAACCTCACGATGCTTGGTTTCTGGACGCTTTTTCATCTTGGTCACCCTCTCTTTGTTCATGTTCCAGCTTGTCAATATCCTTCTCAAATTGTGGTGCCCAGAATTCATCATGGGTTGCTGTCTCTCTGATTTTGTATTATGCCATGCTCCCCATCACAGCCGTTTTGTGACTGTTGCCCCCAGCACTTCTCCACATATTGGTCATTTAAAAAACCCAAACATCTCTTTCTCTACCAAATGATAATTTTTGCTGCAGCTGTTCTTTTTTTTGGGGGGGGGGGAGGTGGGTTTTAGGAGTATATCCTTTACCCAAATATAACTCAAGTTACTGAAAAATGATCCTGCAGGAAACCTAACACTTCTGTGTGCACTCTGACATTATCTATCTTTCATATATCGAGTATGATGAGTTTCCCACTCAAAATTGTCTTATCTGAACAGCCCAATTGCTGCTTAAGGATTTCCCTGCTCAAAGATAATCACATCTCTACCACATTCCTTTAAAGTAAGCAATGTGGAGTCACAAGAGACTGATCCATGCCCAGCATCTTAAAATGAATTGAATTTACCAGTACCAAGTCATCTAGAAACTTCATTTTAAGAGATGAGAAAAAGGTCAGCCTTCAGCTGTTATGCTCACAAGCTTGTCAAGGAAAGATGCAGACAAAAACAATTTGCCCCAAAATGTCATAATGCTACAACTTCTGCCTGGAAAGGATGAGGCTTCATGCTTTAACTACAGGATTCCAGGGGAACCAGTTTTCCTTGAAGTAAAGCTAGCAGCCATAGCACAGAAAGGCTATATATGCCAACAACAAACCTGACACACTTACCTATTTTTATTTAAAGTATTTCTATATGCCCTTCATCAAATTTCTCCCATGGCAGCTTATGACATATCTTATTGCTTGTTAAGCAAGCTTTCTCCAATCTGTGAGGTTTCCATGAGAATTTTAAGCAAACAAAGGGTACCTGGAAGCCTTAAAAATAAAATACATGTTTCAGAACCATCCAGAGCTGATGCATCAAAATTGCAAGGCTTTTAGGAAGAAATCAAACATTTTCCCACTCTGACTTCTCAGCAATCTAGCTTAAGCTAAGTTGAATAACACATTTTCAAACCAACTTGACAGGTAACTTTCTGTCTTACTGACAAAATCACAATCAGCTGCCCTGTGGGAAAAGAGGGAAACACCAACTAACACCAGTATCAGCTGCTTTTGCAAGTTGAGGATACAAGCCAACACGGGATGAAAATTAAGTTTCTAGTGAGAAGTACTATACCTTACATGATTCCTGGTGATTCAAATCATAGGGCTTCAGCCACCTAGCTTTTATCAAACCAATATTAATGTCAGAAGAAACAGCTGTACAGTAGGCATGCCTGGTACCGAAGTCAAACAACAAAAAGTCAGCCTGTTTAATGTATGATTCTAATGTATTTTACCCACCTACATAGTCATTACTTAGGTTAGGTTACTTATCTTGGAGCAGTTGCTATTTTGCATATGTTAGTCTGGTTTTGCTAGAGATGAGAAGGGGGGCAGGAAGCAGGGCAGGGCACCAGGGCTCCACCCACAAAACAAGAATAGTTAATCAGCCATCCCTCTGGCTTTGGAGAGTTTGGGAAGCACATCCCATGCATCTTAATTTTTATTTATTTTATTTTTTTGGCAACCACAAGGGCTGGAAAGCTAATGGAAGTCTGAGATTTTTAGAACAATGAATCCTGCACTTTTTATGTGCCTGCATGGAATCAGAGTATGCATACAAGTCTGGACATGATGGACAAGGAGGGGAGGATTATTTGGAAATTCTTGCTGGTTCCAAAGTAACTGAACAGTGCACTTTTATAATTTCATTCTTGACATTTTAGCAAAATTGACTTTGACATCCATGAAAAGGGTTCCCAAAATTTGTTTTGCATCAAGGTGGCCAGCTCATGTCAAAACCAGTTTGCAGTGCCAATGCTAAAGTTACTATAGTAGTGGGTTTCAAATCCCTGCATTGTCACCTTTTTTGTTTCTTAACCTACTCCTTATTCTGCCCAATCTGATTACTTCTCTAGGTCCTCTCATAATGATCCTAAATGCTCACCTAAAAAACATTCATGTCTAAACAGAAAGGGCTGGCTGCTAACACTTGTTTCCTAGTAACTTATTCTCCTGTTGGCTGGGAGTAGCTACCCAAAATCTTTTTGTTCTTTTTCCTTTCCTTTCCTTTTTTTTTCAGATGGGGGCTGGGATCATAACCGTCCCGTGGGTAATCACTAGGTTTGACAAGAGTAGCTACTACATTTCTGTATTGTTGATTAATTGAAAGTAGTAATAAAAACTGTGTAGTAATTTTGGATTCCTTTATATGTATTAGCGGCATTGCACCTAACATGGTTCAGGAATTCTAAGAACCTCACCCCAGATCAGTGTGGTCCTGCTTTTTTATCTTAGGAAGCAACCTGCAAAATTTTGTTTTGAACCTTTAAGAGGTATCCAAATGCATAGCAAATATATAGGAGATAAGCATATACAAAGCAAGTTTTGAGCACTGTGCAGGCATGCTTGAAAGGCCTTCTGAAATTAATGCTGGGGAGAGTTCTAGTGGTTGAATACAGGGCTCCAGAATAGACACATACTGGATTATATGCAAAATTGTTCACATTGGGCAATGTATGCAAATTGTACCTTTACTTGGTGCAGAATTTTAATGATGCTGAAAAGTCCAAATCCTAGCTGTATAACTTTATACAATCAGAAAGAAAGCTACTACATTTTCCTAATTTTAATCAGGCAAGCATGGCTTTAATATACCTAAAAGGGCACACGAAAGTGAATTAAGTTGTGAAGGGGGGAGATGGCAATTTCTTTAGATTCTTTGCACGTCTCTCCACTTCCTCATTCACTACAGTGCTGTTTCCATTTGGCCTTGGATGTGTCTGCCTCATTTCACCCAAATGTGTTGACAAAATGCTATTTCTCATTTTCTGCACAAGAAAAATGGATAACGCATTAGGAAGTTGGAAATTTTAACATAAGCGATGTTCCACTTGTGGTAGCAACAGTGCAGGGGATGGGCTGTGGGACCTTTTTGATTTTGATTTTTTTTTTGTTCCCTCTTCAAACTGCCTGAAATATTGATCATAAACCTTTTTTTTACAGCAACTGTGGCAGCCATGTATTACAGTTACTACATGCTGCCAGATGGATCCTATTGCCTCGCCCCTCCACCCCCAGGAATTGACATGGCAACTTATTACAATGCACTACCAGCAGGAGTGACTGTGTCTAGCACTACAGGAGTAGCCACAATGACAGCACCACCTCCTCCTGGCACTACACCACCACCATCTTCAGAGGCAACTGATGACACCAGTGGTGTAATGCCTGCCACGACTACTTCAACAAGGTATCCTATTTTTTGCCTGTCCCTTTGAGTTTGGCTTTGAGCAAAAGCATTTCCTATGGTTTCTGGTAACCCCAGGTCACGTTCAACAAAGGCCACATTGACACCACACATTTACAGCACTGTGATGCCACTTTACACCATTATGGAATTCCGGGAGCTGTAGCTCATTAAGGGGTAAAGGTAAAGGGACCCCTGACAGTTGAGTCCAGTTGTGAACAACTCGGGGTTGTGGCGTTCATCTCGCTTTACAGGCCAAAGTAGCAGGTGTTTGTCCACTCCGCAGACAGTTTTTCTGGGTCATGTGGACAGCATGACTAAGCCGCTTCTGGCGCAACAGAACACTGACATCAGAGCAGCTCACGGAAACACCGTTTACCTTCCTGCTGGAGTGGTACCTATTAATCTACTTGCACTTTTTGGCATGCTTTCAAACTGCTAGGTTTGCAGGAGCTGAGAAAGAGCAATGGGAGCTCACCCCATCTCAGGGATTCGAACCACCAACCTTTTGATTGGCAAGCCCAAGGGCTCAGTGGTTTTGGAGACCGCTATTTACTTCCCAGGGTTACAGTTCCCAGAGTTGTTTAACAATCCCTCCTCACAGGGAACCCCGGGAATTATAGCAGTTAATTGATGTGCACTGGAAGTAAGGATGTCTCCCTGCTGCCTTAAGATGTTTGGGCTTTGGTATGTGTCTAAGGAAAAAAGCACCAAATGGTCAGCATACCTTTGCTGTCTTGCTTTGGTTCATGCATGGCATACTCAGGGGTGTTCTCTATGTTTACTAGTTCTCAAATTAATCTTTTCAGTACACATAAACATTTTTTCCCCCTTGACCACAGTGGCTTGTAGCTTTGTTTGTTCAGTTCATTGTAGCTGTGGCCCCATTATAAATCCTCAGCTAGTTAATCGTTGTCTGAAATCTGTTCCAAGCACTAATGTTTTCTTGTTTGAAATTGATCTCTGCTTGGTCAATGTGTTAATTTAGCAAAACAATAAGCTGTGTGACATTAAGAGCACATTACGCAAGTAGGAGTGGGCTTTTGTTTAGATTCTCATCAACTTACAATCTGCCAGTGTTGGGTTGAAATAAACGACATACGAGTAGCAAGTGTCATGTGGGAGGCATCTCTTGAGCATGTCTCGGGGAGTCCCTTTTATTGAATATTACAGCATTGCCACGTATGTGCTTGTTGCTGATTGGTTAACACAAATACATTGCGAGGGTTGCATATAAGACATTAATCATCAATAGATAAAAGGAACACAGAGTTAGACACGCCTAAAAGCCTCCTTAGTAAACAACTACTAATGATTGATATAGCAAGACTTGAAGAATATATAGAAAGATAAGAACAGGTCAAGATGTGCACTTAATGTGAACTAAACATTCCAGGGTGGTAAGAAAAGAATGTACACAGATGTACAGTACCAGTATGCCAGTACTTCTGTAAAAGGTGTTCCAACACTTCTGTTATTCTTCCTGTTTATTGTCAAGGTTCTCTGAATGCCTTACCATGTTATAACAGTGGAATATATTAAAAATGATAGTATTGTAAAATGGGACCAGGATTGTATAAATGGTGCAAACCAGCTTGCATGAAAATATTTTGGACTGAAGTAAGTTGCTGGCCTTTATGATTGCACAGGAAACTTTCACGTATACAGCTGTTTTCTGATGAAAGTTGTGAAATTGGAATGGTTTTAAAGAGGCCTTCAGATTTCTCTCACTCCGTTCTGCCCGGCACTGCAGTTGAAAAACTTTTTAAACCTTGTAAAGCCATAAATCTTGGTGCCCGAAAATGACCTGTTCAAATAAAGTGATGTTAGGCAGATTATAAAAAGTTTTAAATGTTTGCCTGGATTTTTCTAATGCAAAAGAGATAGCTCTGGCTTCTTTAATAAGCTCATTTTTGGGGATCAAATATTTCATAACTTAAAAATCAGTGGTGATTAATAGGGCTGCATGTTATGTTCTCTGCCTATGTAAATAATAAAATGCTAATTTTTTCAGCACAATTCCTTCTGTGGTTACCATCATCCCCCCACCTCCAGACATCCAGCCCGTGATTGACAAGTTAGCTGAATATGTTGCTAGGAATGGGATTAAATTTGAGACCAGTGTCCGTGCCAAGAATGATCTAAGGTGAGTGCAAGTGCCTTTTTTCTTAATTACTTCATTTTATGATGTGGTGTAAGTGAGCAGCTTGTCCCTCTCTTATTGACAGTCTGTTTTGCAAAGAAAGCTGTTGAGTGTAATGTGTTGTAATTTGTTTTATTAAAATTCAAGGGACTACTTGAAGTTAATGATAAAGCATTATTGCCTAAGAATCTTGAAGCTTGTGCTTCTGAATGTATACCTTCTGGGCATTTAGGCATAAATTATTCTATTTCAGAATATCAGATAGCTTTTCAGTGCTTGGGGTACTGGAATATTAAATGATGGTTGATGTTTGCTATGTTGTGGTGTGTTTTTCCACAAATTGCATTTTTGTTCATTAACAGGTTTGAGTTCCTGCAACCTTGGCACCAGTATAATGCCTACTATGAATTTAAGAAACAGTTTTTCCTTCAGAAAGAGGCCAGTGACAGCTCAAAGGTAGGCTTCTAAGAGTAGGAAGCAACAGTGTGACATCTTGCTTCATATGCTACATACATAGGAACCTGACTAGAGCAGCCAGGAACAGAGAAACCACCTCTAGTAAATTTATTTTTTTAGAAATCTATCCCACTTTTCCTTGCCAAACAACTTGCAGGAGCTAGCAACATGCAACTATGAACCCAGTAATAAAGGCTAAGTTGCTTCAATTCATTTTATGCGGGTCTGCCATTAAGAACATAAGAAGAGCCTGCAGGCCCATCTAGTCCAGCAACCAGGTGCCTCTGGGAAGCCCAAAAGGCACACCTGAGTGCAGCAACACACTCTTCATTTGTGATTCCCAGCAACTGGCTTTTAAGATGGGTGCTGCCTCCAACTGTTGAGGCAGAGCTTAGCCATCATGGGTAGCAGCTGTTACTAGCCCTTCCTCCATGAACATGTTTTAAAAGTGTTAAAAAACAAAACGCTGTCGATCAGAGCAAATTTTAAGCAGCATATCACTTTGTTTCTGTGTCATCTTTACTCAATGCTGGATTGTTTGCATGTGCATTTAAGATGCTCGTCATTACCTTTTAAACCTCCTAAATAGATTTAGGAGTAAAGATAAAGGGACCCCCTGACCGTTAAGTCCAGTTGCGGACAACTCTGGGGTTGCGGTGCTTATCTCGCTTTACTGGCTGAGGGAGCCGGCGTTTTGTCCGCAGACAGCTTCCGGGTCCTGTGGCCAGCATGACAAAGTCGCTACTGGCGAACCAGAGCAGCGCACAGAAACGTCATTTACCTTCCCGCCAGAGCAGTACCTATTTATCTACTTGCACTTTGACGTGCTTTCAAACTGCAAGGTTGGCAGGAGCTGGGACCGAACAACGGGAGCTCACCCCGTCGCGGGGATTCGTACCGCTGACCTTCTGATTGGCAAGTCCTAGGCCCTGTGGTTTAAACATTAAATACCATCTCCTTTTGCATGTTCCATCACCAGCTGAGCTACAGCTAGTGTGAAGCAAAAGAAAGTGCCTTCTCTGTAACAACACCCAGACTGTGGAACAGTCAGCTTTCTTTATAGGAACCATTTGGTTTGCCTCATCTTTAGATGTTTTTTTGCCTTCCAGGTGGGGTGTTCTTGTTCCACTGTGATTTAGTTTTAATCGTATTTTTGTATTGCTTTTATTGTACAGTAAAGCCACCTTGAGCACTCTGTTGGAAAGGATATAAATTCTGTAAATAAATAGAAGCCAGACACAACAAGAAAATCGTAACTCTGAAACTTTAGTATGTGATTGCATAAATCCAAGCTGGTGATCTTAAATCAGGTGTTGGTCATCTTAAATCAAAGAGAATTAAATATTGCAATGTACGGGTCAAAAATGAAACATGCTGCAATTGAGATGTTAAGCCTGCTTGATTTCTTGACATGTTTTTGTTTCACTTTGTTTATAGCTACTCTTTTCAGCCAAATTTTTCCCCCAAAGTGGCTTATGATAGAAGTCAGATATGTAGATATTGGATATCTCTGTGGCAGGTTTTTCTGGCCTATGGCTGTTGAGAGGTTTGGAGCTAAAAGAGCAGCAACTGGAGTCATGGGTTAGCAGCAGATAAAGATAGAAACCCATACAAATAGCCCTTCTATTGATTTGAAAGCTCCACTGGGATTGCACAATACTGTACACAAAGAAAACACAAAGTCAGAAATATCCCATACTTTGGGCCATAGGGGAATGTTTTGATGGGTGCCTGTTTATTAGGGACAGATAGCTGGTGCCTTAGAAGCTCAAAGGGTACTGCTGTACTCTAGGATGAATATGAGAATTGTTCCACCTGTTCTGTAGCAGATGTAGGATGGATTCAATTGTCCACTCTGAGTGAAGTGTCCACTTGTAAACTCAAATTGCGGAGCAGCTGGAGCAGAATTATGCTAGCTTCTCCTGGTGTCTTATGTGCTACTGATGATTAACTCTCCATGTTCTCACAGATGCCATGCAAACCACCAGCTGAAATAGACTGCATATGCCCTTCCAGCAAAGATGTGATGTTTTAGTCTAAAAAATTGTATTCAGGGCTAAAAAAAATTGCCCAAGTTGTCATTTTGCCCTCTGAAAAGATACCCAGCATAACCTTTTTCTAGGCAGCATTTTGAAGTGGCATACGGACACAAAGAGTTCCATTAAATGAAACCTGTGCATGAGTTGCCTTTGTATTTTCAATTTATTTGGATTAAATAGTTTACAATACAAGTTCATGTTTATAAAGCAGACTAAAGTTGCTAGGAAACCATTTTACACATTTTCCCATAATGTGGATGAGGTTAGTTTTGAAATTAGTAGTGGGTGTACTAATAAATTAGTAGTGAGTTACACAGTTTCACTACTTACTTAAGTGCTGTGTATAACAACTCTTCATGTTTTCAGGTGAAATATAGTTAATATATTTTTCACTTAATCATGTTGATCTTTTTAAAAACCCTTTATTTAGTTTCCACCTGAATTTTATTTTCTGTTGACTAAAGGGTGCTAGTACATGGATCAGGAAGGTCTAATGGCCAGGTGCCAGAGGGCTCAGGGGGGATTTAGGCCAGACTTGCAAATAGTTTGTTACCTGTAGCAATTCAACAAATGTCTCTATGCACTAGGCAAAGAGGCTTCCTGATTTAAGAAATTGAGAACCGCTGGTGGATAATACCATCAGGGGACTGATCATCTTCACTTGATTGACCCTCTGCTTGAATATCCTGTTTCATATGGTAGCCAATCAGTCCTTCAAAATGCCACAGGCAGAATGTCAAGACAAAAGCTTTTTTCCTGCTGTAACTTTCCCCAGCAACTAGCACACTCCCTCGAAACATGGAATTTTATTTTATTATTATTATCCCGCTCGCTGCCTTGCCTTCTTCCATAGCTGCGCGCAACCCCTCCACAAGGAGACGCTGCGCGGGGCTAAAGGGGAAGGCAAAACAGCGAGCGGGATCCATCCCGCTTGCTGCCTTGCCTTCTTCCATAGCTGCGTGCAACCCCTCCGCAAGGAGAGGCTGCACGGGGCTATGGCTTCTTTAGCCCCGCGCAGCGTGTCCCGGCAAGGAGAGGCTGCATGGGGCTAAAGGGGAAGCCAAAACTTGGCTTGCTCCATAGCTGCGCGCAACCCCTCCGGCAGGGAGAGGTTGTGCACACCCTGTACGCTGCTCTTTGGGGCTGGGGGGGGAAAGATTTTTTTCTTGATTTCCCCCCCTAAAAACTGGGTGCGCCCTATGGTCCGGTGCGCCCTATGGTGCGAAAAATACAGTGACAGAAACTGAAATAATATCTTAAAGGTTTCAAAATAAAAGATTACAGAGGAGGTCAACTACAGAATATACATTTAACACAGCAAAATTAACAAAAAAATTATCTTAAACATTACAAAAGAAAATGTTACTAAAGGAAGTGAACTATAAAATGCACATTTAAGACAGCATTATTAACAAGAGCATAAAACATTACCATAGGCATAGTACATACCTGCTGCTCCTGTTGCCAATCCTGCCAATGGTGGATCATGGTGGGTGGCAGCTGTGGAAGTTCAGGCTCAATAATCTGCAGCTGCACTAAGAGACAGACAGAATTCCATATAGCTATCAAAATTAATATAGGGCTGCCATACGTCCGGATTTTCCCAGACATTACTGGGATTTCGAAAACCTTTGGTTTTTTTCAAAACAAACAAAGCAAAAAAGCTCAACAATTTGGGGGTCTTCCGGAGGGTCGTGGTTTTTACTTTTTGAAATATGGCAACTCTAAACTGATAGCCATTAATGAGCCCATTCTCCTTGAAATTGAATAGAGAATTTGCTGAGGTCCACTATCATTGGTGTGGCTTCAGTTTTGGCTTTCCACTCCAAGTTCTCTGAAACACATAGAGGGCTTGTGGAGGAGGCGAAGGTTTCTCTTTTTTGTGCTGGGGTATGGAAAAGATGAGGGGTAGGGAGACTCCTGTGGCTCTTTTATTCTCCATAGCCCAGCACAAGCAAGACCCTCTAGCATGTGCAGAGAGGTAATGCCTTACTCTCACCTATGCTGAGATTTTGGATGAGAACACTATGAGAGGCTTCTTGTATTTTTTCACCTTCTTTAAGCCGCAGGGTGAGAATGCAAAGCCCTGGCCGTGCCTCTCACCAAATGGTTGAGGAACTGGTGGAGACACACTGGTTGATCCCTAGTGGACACACACAAACAGCTGGCAGGCTTGTTTTTAAGGCAACTTAAACCACAGTGACATATCAAAATACTTCTGAAATTTTATATGCATTTATTTGATTTTCTCTGTCTCTAAGCTATCAGCCTGGGAGCTCAATATAAATCCTAGTGACCACAACTGCCTTCTCCTTGGTTTGTGCATAGCAGCTTTCTGTTGTGCAGCCTATCAGCTAGACAGCTTCTACACAGCTTCCTTCTCCCCTCCTGTAACCATATATATTGGCAGAGCCTCTGCACTCTTGTGCTCCTCAAGTTGCTTGTTCCCATTTGCCCTATTTGGCAGATTCTGAAGAGTAAGCAGGTGAGGTGCATGATTGGGTTAAAGAACCCTTTTGCCAGTGTGTTTCCTTGCTCCCAGTACGTTTCTGAGCACAATTCAAAGTCTTGGTGCTCACCTTTAAAGCCCTAAACTGCTTTGGCCCTGTATACCTGAAGGTGCGTCTCCACCCCCTTCATTCAGCCTGGACACCAAGGGCCTTCTGGCAGTTCTCTCACTACAAAAAGTAGGGCCTTCTTGGCATTGGCACCCGGCCTGTGGAATGCCCTCCCATCAGATGTCAAGGAGATGAGTAGCACTATAACCTTTAGAAGACCTCTAAAAGCAACCCTGTATAGGGAAGCCTTTTAATGTGTTATGTTTCATTAAGTTTTTATATATGTTGGAAGCAACCCAGAGTGGTTGGGGCAACCGAGTCAGATGGGTGGGGTATACATAATAAAATAATAATCATCATCACCATCATCAATCACAGAAGTGGGTTTTATTGGCAAAGCCAGTGTTGTTTGATACTTCAGTCGTTGCTCCATTCAAAATATTGCTTCTGCTGACTGCCAGGTGCTGGCCAACATGAGCTGCCTTCTTTCTGTCATTTAAACACTTTCAGGAGCTTCAAAACTAAGCATTCTGCTTATTCTGTTCTTTAAATTATTATTGTTTAAGTGCCTACAATCTGAAATCCTGTAATATGAGCCCCTCTCCATAATTGAAAATCCTCAAACCTTGTTTGTAGAAGATTTTTTTTTTAATCGCTACTTAGAGGCAGTCAAAGAACCTTTTAAAGAAAGGAGCATTACTTTTTCTAAAGTACAGTTTTCAATTCGTACATCAATTCTTGAACTTTTTAGTTTCTGAGAGCCTTTTCTGAGCAGTGCATTGTGGTGATTAAATGGTTCTTAGTCGCTTTATTTCTCCACCAGTCTTGTTGAAGTGACAGTAAAACCACTAGTGCCTCTTATAACAGGGCTTTCCATTGAGAACTTTCAAAACATTTTAAGGTTCTAAAATATCATTGATGGCTCATATTCATTGTTCCTAAGAAAGAGGGTTCCAGTTTTGTTAGTAAAGTATGTTGGTAATGATTTCACTTACACCATTGACTTCAGGCATTTCTCAAAGCTCAAACATCTGTGATTTACAAACCTGCAGAGTTCACCTTGCTGTTTTCCATTAGTGAGTTACCTGATTTTTGAGGGGATAAACTCATCCAGCGAATATTAGGTGGGAGTAGCAAATCACAGGGCCAGTCTTGAATCCATCTGCTTCATTCCAGTACTCTCTAGCACAATCAAAGAAAACATTCCAGCCTTCTCAGGTGGCATAAAAGATATGCTTTGGCCCCCAAAGAATATCATTAAAATTGTTGTCAAGGATTATCTCAGGGTGGGGTTACAAGTCGAAGGATCTGGGGGTTTGGCTTTTTTAAGTTTCCCCCAATTTCAGTTAATTGGTTTACAGGGGTCTTAGGCTCCAGAAATTGAACTATTGGGATTTAGCACTTTATTGGTTCTTGCAAGAAAGGAAAAAGTAGAGGTGGCCTTATTCTAGGGGTGGTTAGTAGTTTAAGTGTAGATATGCAGGTAACTGAATCCAGTTCATCTTGCTTTATCCACCTGAAAAGACATAGGGAATCTGAATCAATTTGCATAAATATGTATGTCCTGCCTAGAGACTCTATAAAGATCATAATTTCAATATACAATATGGGGCTTCCTAGAGCAGGGGTAGGTAACCTAAGGCCCGGGGGCTAGATGCGGCCCAATCACCTTCTCAATCTGGCCTCCATACAGTCCGGGAATCAGCGTGTTTTTACATGAGTAGAATTTGTCCTTTTATTTAAAATGCATCTCTGGATTATTTGTGGGGCATAGGAATTTGTTCATTCCCCCCCCCCCAAAAAAAAAAATAGTTTGGCCCGCCACATGGTCTGAGGGATGGTGGGCCGGCCCACAGCTGAAAAAGGTTGCTGACCCCTGCCCTAGAATCTCATTTAAAATTGATTAACCAATGCTTCCCAACATCTCTTGATGATTGTGCTGGGAGATTTCAGTGCAGGAATGGATGATGAGTGTGCAATAGCCAGTGAAAGGCTTGGTCTGAATTTAGAGGATATTAATCTGTAGACGAATAAATTCTGCAGGCATTTATTTAAATTAGTTTATAAACTTCGGCTGTTCCTCTGTAATGGTTCCAGGCAGGATAACCGAGCCAGGAAGTTTACATACAATCCCCTTAAAGGGTGGGAGCACCATAAATTATTTTTTTGTGCAATGGCAAATGTGCCCGTTATGTAGAGAATTTTGCAGTGTGAGGCCAACCAGCAAGTGATTTTACCAGCGTATGACGCTGGCAGGTTTTCAGGGCATTACAAAAGGTCTGGCTTATAAGCTCTCCTGCATGCAGCAAGGGAAGCACAGTTTGAGGTGGACTCTGAATATTCAGCTAAAATTAGAGGAATCTACTCAGTGAACAGATGAAATAGGCTGCTAGGAGCAGCAGTGACCTATGATGCTGTCCATGGGAAAGCTTATAAACAGGAACTGAGCATAACAGCACATTCCCAGCTTTTGGCCTGAAACCTTTGAGGGCTGCTGTCAGTTAGAGTAAACGATAGCGGTCTGTGCAATCTTCACATTTCCCCCCATTTCCTTTCAGTATCAGTTTTAAATTGCTTCCATTGCCTGTGTTTCACAAATCATACGTTTGGGAGTTTTTTTTACACACTAAACAATCTCTGGCATAAGTCTGCTCTGCCATGAATAAATTAGACCAATTAACTCAAGTGCCCCTTTCTCTTCTGAAGATAAATTCTTACTACTGAAGTTTTATTATGTGTTCATCTTTTTTTTTCTAACAGTGGGAGTTGCTAACGCTTAAAACTGCATGCCAAAAATACTCTTAGATTTTATTGGTATCATTAGCTGCAGCCAATAAGTGAAACTAAACTTTAAGATTGTTCCTTAAAGATTTCAACATTTTTTTTAAGAAAAGGAAAACTTTACGCTTAGCCATTTTTATATTAGACTTTCATTGTACATTCTTATTACAAAGCTGTTAGTACAGTGCTTTTTAATGACTCTCTTGACTACCGTAATGGGCATGAAATAGCAATGTCAAATATACTTGAATCATCGCAAGCTTTTTTGTCTGCTGCTATGCTTTCTTAAAAATCTCCAAGCTCATTTATAACTGGTACATAAAATGAAAGTTTCACAGCAAGTAAATGGGCAGGTCAGCTAGTATCAGTTTGGTAATGGGTGTAATACGAAGAACTGAAGCCACTGTGTTGCAATTGTTAGATCATTTTGGACTGTGATAGGAGAGAATAGGAATTCTGTGTGCTGTGCAATCCTATCATGTCTACTCAGAAGTAAGCTTCATTGACTTCAGTGAAGCTTACTCCAATATTTTAATTCTATTTTAATTGTATTCCGTAGGCTTTCATTTTTAGTTGGAAAGTGAGGTTGTCTTGTATTTTCCCGCCTTTAAGCAGGTAGCAACTTTATCGGAGGATGTCCCTGCTGATACTGCCAACACTGAACCTGGAGAAGCCCAGTTTCCCGCTGACAGCATGTCTGAAGATGTAGAGTCTGCTGCCCAAGGAAATGATAAACAAGATGCACTGGCCATTAAAATTTCCAATGATGGCAAACTGATAAAAGGTATGCCTGTAGGTGTGGGAACCAGAGACACACACCCCGACACCGTGTGTGTGTGTGTGTGTGTGTGTGTGTGTGTGTGTAACAAATAAATACATCCATAAGTAGCATTAAAGAATGTTTCACTCATCTGAAGGGTGGAGGGGAAACTCTGAACTGAGTAATGGATCCCAATTTATGTCTTGATGTTCTCTCAATATCATACAACTTAATACAACATACCTGCTTGAAAGATCTCTCGTCTTTCATTCAAGGCTGATAGAGAGCAGCCTTCCTGCTATGGATGAGGGACCAACTCCCTTCTCTTGCGGGGGCCCAATTAGTGCCATTGCCTTCCGTTAAGAGTTTGGGTGTAATCCCTGACGCCTCCCTTTCCATGGAGGCGCAAGTTACAGCAACAGCCAAGGCAACATTTTTCCACCTTCGCCGCATCAAGCAGTTGGTCCCTTACCTTTCCCGCCCCGACCTGGCCACAGTGATCCATGCGACGGTCATCTCCAGGCTTGACTACTGTAATTCGCTCTACGCGGGGCTGCCCTTGAAGCTGTCCCAGAAACTCCAGCGGGTACAGAATGCTGCAGCGAGGCTCCTCACGGGGTCTTTGCCATGGGAGCATATTCACCCAGTGGTTTTCAAGTTGCACTGGCTCCCGGTGGAGTACAGGGTCAGATTTAAGGTGCTGCTTTTGACCTTTAAAGCCCTTCACGGCCTAGGACCCTCGTACCTATGGGACTGCCTCTCCTGGTATGCCCCACGGAGAGCCTCAAGGTCCATAAATAACAACACCCTAGTGGTCCCAGGCCCTAAGGAAATTAAATTGGCTTCAACCAGAGCCAGGGCCTTTTCAACTCTGGCTCCGGCCTGGTGGAACGCTCTGCCTCATGAGACCAGGGCCCTGCAGGATCTGATTTCTTTCTGCAGGGCCTGTAAGACAGAGTTGTTCTGCCTGGCCTTTGGCTTGGAGCCAATTTGATTCCCTCCCTCTCTTCTTTTTTCTTTTCCTTCTCCTCCTGCAATGAGGCTACATTTTAATATTTTAATGTTCCATTATTTTAATGTTGTATTTTATTTTTGTTTTTAAGTTGTAATCATTCTTCTTGTTTTTATTATTGCTTGTAAGCCGCTCTGAGCCAGGCCTTGGCTGGGGAGGGCGGGGTATAAATAAAAAATTATTATTATTATTATTATTATTATTATTATTATTATTATTATTATTCCTCAGCCTGGTGCAGTGCTAGCAGGGTTTGATGGGAGTTGTAGTCCAAAACATAGGTAGGGCACCAGATTGGGGAAGGGTGATACAGAAGCTTGGGTGGATTAGTTCAGTTCTTTATCGAAGCCATTCCAGAGAACGATTTCCCCAAGTGCAGCATGACTGCTTGAGAATTGGCTGTAGTGTAGCTGCTTAGCGGAGGCTCTTAGCTCAGCTGCTGATGGAACAGAAGGTCCCAAGTTCAGTCCTTGTAAAGAGTTGTGTAGCGAGGCTGGGAAATTATTGGTTTCTTTCTGCCTGGAACGCAAGAGAACTTCTGTTAAGTCTTGGGGGGTGGGGGTGGGCAATGGCCTGACCTGGTTCAATGAAGCATCAAATATTCATGCGACCAGTGATTAGATTGCAGCACCACAGAGCTGGAAACTCTATTTTGATAAGTAGCAGAACGCTTGCCAGACGAAACTCCTGTATTCTTTGTTCCAATAAAATCAAACCTTTGAATTTCAGGAGCTTTTCGCAGCAGGCAGCAGTTAAACTGAAAGAAATTTGTGTAGGCAATCCCTTGCACGTGTTTAATTTAGAGGAAGCTGCTGCCAGACCATAGCTGTGTAAAATGGTTTGGCTTCTTTTTGGTGGTGGGGGGGGAGGGGATCATAGTGATGGAGGAGTCGTTCATCAGTTTTCATTTCCGGTATAGAGGGTGGGAACAAATGTTCCAATACGACAAGAGTTTCTGCCAGTTGCGAGGCAAGCTGTGAAATGCTGTAGATAGGAGGAAATGCATAGGCTTCGCCTTTCTTTCTGCTGTGCTACAATGCAATTAATTCCTCAAAGTAATTATTTTTTTGTAGGCTGGTATTAAATGAAATCTTCCAAGTACCATTGGGTGAGCTAGCAAATCCTCTTGATGTCAGATTTAGTGGGGGAAAGGTGGAAAAGTATTTTGTTTTTTTAAAGTTGCAAGTGGGTTAGGCTAATTAAGAGGTCAGGTTTGAAAATAGCCTTTTGAAAAGATAATAAACCACAAAGGGCCAAAAATTGAATTACATGGTTTGTAGCATTAGCGGGGGCAGGGGGAGTTCAACCGATGGATCCAGGTTTGAGGATTAGGAATGTATGAAGTTGCCATATACCAGGTTAAACTATTTGCCTAATTAGCCTGATATCTTCTATTCAGACTGGGAATGGCTCTCCAGGGTCCCCAGCAATAGAATGTTATTTCTACCATTTGCTACCTGACATATTGTTAACTAGAGAGCCAAGGAGTGAACCTGGGACGCTGTACATGCAATTGAGGTGCTGTTATCACTGATGTATATGCCCTCTCCGAATCAGTAATGGTAGAGGTTGTATAAAGCGGAAGTTACGTGTGGCTAGATCTCTTTATACTATCAAAGACGAATCTAGAAAACCTGGTTTCATATTCTGGGTCATACCTTGTTTTCCTTTGAAAAAGCTCAAGTACCTTAAGTACGGTTCCCAGGGAGTCTCCCATCCAAGCAGTTTGATGGGCCAGAATTGCTTAAGCTTCAGCAGCAGAACGGCATTACAGGCATTCACGGCCAGTTTATCTCTCTGTCAGCTCCATTTTACCAATTGCCTGAGAATCGTTACCAAGACTGAACAAGGCAAAGCTTTTTAAGCAGTTGCCCGTTAGGACTGCTATATAAATGAGTGATAGAGCTAGCCCTAGCGGCCTCCACGGTTAAGGCTTCTATAAAGTTTCCATTCTAAATGCTTTGTGTCCGTTCATAATTCTTTTTCCAAAACACAAAGGCAGGCTGCCTATATTTGGCTAGGGCTCAAAGCACAAATGCTTATAAGGAAAGCTTCAGCTGCTTGCATGCATGCAAGGAGGGGCGGGTGACATTATCTTTAAAAAGCGAGCATCATTCTATCCCTGCCTTCTAAAAGGCTTTTGTAGTAGTTCCAAATCTTCAGATCAGAATTTACCCTTTAACCATGAGGGTAAGGTAATGATTCCCCCCACTATCACCAACTTAAGGGGATCATTTGTTTTTCCACTGTTTTTACAGGACCATTTAAATGTGGTGGAGAGAGATGTATTGGTGCTGGTTTACATGCAGGCTCTTCCATCCTGTTCAGCAGGATGATTTTCAGCCTCAAAAGAATGTGCTTTACAGAACATTCAGTCAGCAGAGGGGGAGGAAAGGAGCAAGAAGTCGGGGCACTGCAAATTATTTCTTTGCTTTTCTCCAGAGACAAGAGTGAACTAAAACCAAGTTCCTAGCCTGTAATCCTTCCCCCACCCTTCTTATCAGTGGTTTTGATTGTTAAGACAACTATAGAAGTAAATAGCAGACTATTAGTTTCAATATTTGTTTGGTTTAATATTTGCAATCCTCTTTTAAGCCATAAAGATCCTCAAAGTGACAAACAATGAGATAAAACCGTAATACTGTATTGTTTTTAACACTTGATTGGAAGCCGCCCAGAGTGGCTGGGGAAGCTCAGCCAGATGGGCGGGGTATAAATAAATTAATAATAATAATAATAATAATAATAATAATAATAATAATAATAATAATAATACATAAGCAACGATGAACAGCCTCTGTTAGAAAGCTACACCAGCTGCACAATGTAGCGCAGATGGGACCCAGGGCAACACATTGCAGTGTAGAATGCTCCTGTTCAGGTTTCAAGCCTGCCAGTTGTGCCTGCTTTCTGGATACTCTATTCTGCCCCACCCCGCAAATAACATTCTGTACCACTGAGCAAAGCCAGTTTTCACTGAGCCTCGGGGGGGGGGGTTCAATTGAGAAGGTTAGCTAAGTATTTGTTGTTCTCTGCACATCTTGGGAGTTGTCTCTAGCCTACTGCTGCTTTCCCTCTTCTGCACAGGTGCAATTGTTTTCATTGCAAAATGATTCATAGATTACCTAGTCAACAATATCTCACTAGTTGTCACTTCCTTTTTAATAGCATCCTTTGCACCAATAAGCTTTGCAATCAGGGCCAAAGAAAATGACATGCTCCCCTTGGAGAAAAACCGTGTGAAACTTGATGATGACAGCGACGAGGAGGGGGAAGAAGGCAAGGAAGGCCAAGAGAATGCCAGTAGCACCTCAAACAGCCATTCAGCATTTGCCATGTCCAGTGGGGCTGCTGAAGAGAAGAAGCCTCAGCTGACACAGGAGGAGCTGGAAGCCAAACAAGGTAAATGCATCAGCACTGTGGAGAGGAGAGGAAATGCTTGGAGCTTGTAAATGTGTACTGTTGGCAGACTTCTTGTTTTGAGAGCGGGCTTAAAGGGAAGGAAATGGATAGTAAACAGAAAAAAACCAGGGAGTTGCTACTTTTTGTTATGTCTTATAGTTATGATTTGATTTTTTTTTTAAATCTTGAATTTCGGAACTCTTTTGTAAACTACAGTGGCCTATGGTTGATACAAATAAATTGCTGATGTTCTGAGGTGAATAAAATTATCCACAGTATACCAACTAAACGTAATCATTGAAATGTTGTATTTCATGCTCAGGGGCTTGTCAGCAGTGGTGTACAAAGGCCCCAGGACCGCTGTGAATTGGCCACAGCGTGCACTGCAAGCTTTGAGCTGAGTTGGACCATAATGGCTTCTCATTCATTTTTTTTCTTTACTAAAAATGAATTGTGTTTCAGAGATGCTGATTGTCAAAGTAGCTGTAGTCTTAGGCATGCATCTAGTGTGTGGTGCTAGGGAAGCACATTTAAGAATTGGTGTGTAAACTCCTACTCAACTATTTTATATGTGTTGTAATGTTCTTATAATTAAACAAATTGAGTTTTAATTGCTCCTTCAGGTCTGGAATAGTAGCTGACACAAAATGCATTACCACCATCACTTTGGCAGCATAACAATCAGAGACTATATTACTATAGCCATCAGTACACAACTTAAAAATGCAGACTTCATATTTCTTCAAAGTCTTGAAATATTCTGAGGCAGTGCTTAGTGCGTTTTAAATTTTGGAGGACTCATCTGTAAGGCCAGGGCTGTACTGCATCCCAGGCTGATATGAAATACAATGGAGTTGTGGGTGCACAGACTCAGATTAGTGTATTATTCTCCTGGCTAGGTGCTATTCCTTCAGCAACTAGGTCAGGTGGCTGGGTTCTCCCTGCAAGTGCTCAGTGCTTCATTTAAGAATGTTAGGAACTTCAGGCCTCAGAGTATGAAGCCTCTACTTGGCCAAACCTGGCAAAACTACAAAGACCCTAGCCATCTGGTCAGCAGGGTAGCACATCCTGTTTACATGCTGAAAATTCTAGCTCATACCACTTAATTTAGAGACCCTGAATTGGCGAGTATATTTCCTGGTGCAGCCATCTATGGCCTTGCCCTTGTGCTTTGTACTCTCAACGCTATTTGCTTTAATGCTTCATAGAAGAAGAACATAATCATGTAATGGCTCAAGCAGTATACTCTGGTATGCTTACATTTTGTCTTTTCCGAATCTACATGCCACATAAATGGCGGGACTGAGCTATGTGGAGGAGATGCTCAACTTGTGGGCAAATAAATTGTTGATGAGGGCAGTGTCCTTGGCCTTCTGCTATAGAGACCTGGGTCTTCTCTGCCCACTTTTCAGCAATCAGCAGCATATGAATATCATCCTGGGTCTAATGGGTCATTATTGATAATTCATTCAATAGAGCTCTTTCAAGGGCAGGGGTTGGAATCTAGCCATTCCAGGATTACTGGAAATGAATTTGACTTAAAGGAAGTAAATCCTTGAAAAATGAGGCAATATACGTCATATTGAAACTTTAAAAATAAGGGCACATTGCAGCCTTACTGTGAAAGCCTTTAATTTGATCCTGATGCTGCTGGTGAGAGTTTGTCCATAGCAGGTACTGGATGCAGGTGACTGAAAGATTCATATGTGAAGGTATTTTTAGCTTAGGAAAAAAAGTAGAGGGAGATATGAGAGAGGTGTATTTAAAAAACAAAGCAAAACTTTGCAGAGTATGAGGCAGTGGCTAAGGAGAAGTTTTCGTCATCCAGTGAAACTGAAGATGAGGAGATTCAGAACAGGCAAAAGAAAGTACTTCACACAACACTAAGTTAAACTGGAATTTACTGCCACAGGATGGTACGAAGTTGGGTAGCGTTAAAACAGAATTAGACAGATTCATGGAGGCTGTGATGGCTTTGTACTATCTCCAGTACTGGAGGCAGTATATCTTTGAATACCAAGCACTGTGTTTCTCCACAGAATTGCTGTTGTGCTCATGTCCTACTTGCACGCTTCCCATTAACGTGGTTGGAGAACACAATTCTGAACTGAAGGGGCTGACATAATGTCATCATGCTTTGCAACCTGGGAAACACAAGCACATTATAGATGGTGTTTTGGCTAAAAAGCCCTGGGGTGCTTCTGGTCCTGTTGTTGCTCATCATGGATGCTTAAGTCTTTGCATTGGCAGCAGCCAGAGGTGTCTATATCAAGTTTTTTCAGATTACAATGCTTGACCCCTTTGAAATTTCTTCACCTTTTAATTTTTTTCCTGTAACCTTGTGTTGCATAATATTTTTGTGTGTATAGCACATACAGAAAGAAACAAGCCCCTGCCAAACAAAGCTTGCATTATATTAATTCTCTGTTTTAGCATAGACTTTTTTTTTTTAACAAACAAACAAAATTCTTATAAAGTTCTGGCTGGTAAATTTTGTTACCTTCTCCAGACTTTGACATTTGATTTATTGGAAATCAAATAATGGAAGCAGCTGGGGGAAAGGGCATTTGTTTCCTCATTTTCAGTAATTTTCTGAAAACCTTATGTTGAATTGGATTATACTTTTAATCTGCATCTGTGCATCTTAATTCAGTAAAATATAAAAGTTTAATTTGATGAAGAATTCATAATGTCGCTGCAGAGAATATGTTGCCTTTCAGATCTTATAAATAGGCATCTGAGATGCAAAGATATGATTTTTAATAATAATAAAAATGAAGTCACTTCCAAATAGAATTATTTATTAAAAATTCTCCTACAGGAAGTATCTTTTGGAGTGTCAGGTTCTATAGTTAACTATGAATTCATTATTTCATGTCTGCGGGTAAAAAAACAACTGCTAAACATCAAATTAAAGGAGGAATGTTTCTCATTCTGAAAATGGATCTACAGTATATTTAAATATATTTGCTAATCTTTTGTAAAAACTCTTTATAACATTCTTGAAAGAGAACTAACAGTCAGGAAAGCTGTATGTTTAGTTTTCAAGGTTAAATGGTAGGTCTTCGTGAAAAAAGAACTATTTAGTGGTTTCTTTTTTATATATAATGCTCATATTAAATACATTTTAAATATGTATATAAATCCCAAAAGGTGTGAGCATTTGCCCAAACTTGAAATGAGAAAATTAAAACAGACATAATATACTTCTGATTAGTCACAGCTGAGCATTAGAGAATCAAAAGTGTGAAATGCTGAAAAATGTGATATTTGGAACTTTAATGATGAGCTTGAAGGAATTTAGCTGCTTAGAAATGTTGATGGTGGTGCCACAGAATTAGAAATATTTTACTGCTCTTGCGTTGGGTTCTTGTGTAAAAATGTGCTTCTTGCTTTTAAAGTAATGCTAGGATTTAGGGTAATAGCTCTGTTCCCAGTGCATTTCTGAAAACACTTCCCTTACTCCTTGTTCAGTTTTATTTGCTGGGGCGTTAATGATTGTTCCTCTGTGAAAATGTGTACACGTGAGCTGCTAATCCATGGAACATGTTAAAGTTTACTCTACTGAAGACATCATTATTCTGTAACTGCACATCCTAGGCATATCTGTTCAGTCCCATTCAATTCATTGGAGCTTACTCCCATGTAAATTAGTGTAAAAGAGCAATCCCATTAATCCATAGTAGCATGATCCACAATCCAAGAAACATATAATCCACAAATCAATTAAGCTATTTCATTCAGCTAATAGTGGGATTTAAGGCATTAGAAGTTCAAGTTCATTGGCATGTGGTTTGAATTTGACCAATTACCTCTTTACAGCTTGGGATTCACCGCCCACAGTTCCATGTACAGTAGTGCCCCGCAAGACGAAAAACCCGCTAGACGAAAGGGTTTTCCGTTTTTGAGTTGCTTCACAAGACGATTTTCCCTGTGGGGTTGCTTCGCAAGACGAAAACGTCTTGCGAGTCTTGCGATTTTTTTCCGCTTCCCCCCCTTTTTCTAAGCCGCTAGCTAAGCCGCTAATAGCCTTTTAGCTGCTAAGCCGCTAAGCCTTTAATAGCCGCTAAACCGCTAATAGCGCTAATCCGCTAATCCTCTAATAGGGTTGCTTTGCAAGACGAAAAAACCGCTAGACGAAGAGACTCGCAGAACGGATTATTTTCGTCTTGCGAGGCACCATTGTTCAAGTGGCTAAATTACCACATTGTCCCTCCCACTGTAATCTCTTGTCCATCAGTAATTCTGAACATCTTGTTCCAGTTACTCATATTTTCAGTTTTGGGTATTCCCAACCCCTAACCTCCACCGCTTCAAAATTGCTGAGGCTCTTAATGGATCACTTAATGATTTTTCTACCTTTCCTTTATCAATTATAACAATATATGCTAAAACTTAGTCACCACTGCAGACCACCTGAATGAAGCTGATGGAGTACACTTTGGGAACTACTCCTATAGAGACTTCTCTTTGCTGGGTTTGGAAATAGACCCGGGGGCGGGGGAGAGTTTGCTATTCTCTTGTCCTCCTCATGTCAGCAAGCATTTGGCATAGTCACAAATTACATTAAGCACATTTAAAAGTAGCCAAGATAAGAGTTTAATGAAAAGCACAACAGACAGAGCAGAAGCAGGGGTAAACAGTGCAGGTATAAACCAGGGATGTAATTATTCCTGGGGGATGGTAACAGCAGACACATGCACAAAATGTGGGAGATGTCTTAATTCAGTTAAAGGATTTTGGAGCTGATAATTTTATCCATGGGCACCTTCAATGCAGAGATGATCCTGAAAAAGAAATGAAAATGGACGCAAAAGGCTACCATTTCCACAAGGAATTCTATAACCTAACTTGTGGAAAGTCTCCAGGTGCACTTACATGCTGCTGCTCTTTCTCATAATTCTGAAATGCCAGTGGTGATGTATTGAAGCTGTTGCAGCCATATGGTCTGTACGATACTCAAGAGTGAATAATTTAGGTGCCTCTGTATACACTGAGGAATTACAGAATACTATTGCATAACGCAAGAGATAGGTTCCATCAATGCTTTGAGAAATCTGTGCTCTGAAATGATTGGTTTCCAGGCTAGTTCATCAGGTACATTTCTAGAACCATGTGGCTTATACATACACACTGCAAACTCTGTGTGGAGAGCCCCCTCCACATTCCTGTCCAACCATCTTGATTAGGTAGTCGGGGAGAGTCAGTGGGCATGAAATTATATACAAGCTGATCTCAAATTAAGGGCCAAAAGCCCAAGTAAAGAAAAATGTTGTTTCTGGGTACCTAAAAATATATAAAGATGGCACCAGTTGTGCCTCCCTGGTGAGTGCATTCCACAAGCATAGTGCCACCACTGAAATGGCCTGAGCTGCATACTGCTCTGTCAGTCAAAACCAGCACCTCAAATTAGCCCCGAAACAAGTTGGGCCAGAAATGGTGTTGTATTTTCAGATTGCCTTGCCCCTGTCAACAGTCTAGCTGCCAAATTGTGCTTCAGCTGTACTTTTTGAACTGTTTTAAAAGGCAACCTAACCTATAACACATTGCAGGAATTCAACCTAGTGGTTACCAGGGCATAGACAGTGGAGGTTAGGCTGTCCCTATCCAGAAGGGTGCACTATGTATTGGCTGCTTCTGAGGGAGTGTGACCCCATCCAGAGCAAATCACGTCCAGTTTTATCTATTCATAAGCATGAATGCACCCCACAAAATTTTGCAGCATGCACCTTTATCCAAAAGGATTTCTCAGGCTGTTAACTTTTTCTTCTTCTTACTTAAATCATGTTACTCTCTATATGTTTCACTCCACTGGCTTCCTCTATTGTTTTGTATTAAGTTTCAATTTCTTCCTTTTAACCTTTAAGTCTCGCCATGGTCTTGTGCCTTCTTATCTATCTATGTTGCATGCTCCCTGTTCCCCATCTCAGTCTCTCCATTCATCAGACACTAATTTAAGGCTTGTAGTTCAGTTCTTTACATTTGAAAAGCCATTCTCTGGTATCTACATAGAACTGGGAAGAATCCCTGTCTGAAACCTTGAATAGTTGTTGCTTGTCTTTATAGACATTTCTGAGTTAGGTGTGTCAGTGGTCCTGACATTCCTATTAAACCTCCTCTCCTGTTCTGTTGTTCATTTCTGTGACTTCTCTCTCTTGGTGAGCTGAACTCTCAGTTTCTGTTGCACTCTATTACAAAACTCATCTTTTTTTTCCCTTTCTTCCTAGTCCAGTGTTCATAATCTTACATTGTTTTGTCTTTTAATCTCTCCCAACCGAATGGTTTCTCCCCTCTGCTTTCATTTTGTACAGCTTCTACTGCATTTTAAGTCATATATATATCCCAAGGTGCTCTTTAGGAGCTACATAGATGTACATTTTCTGGACTCAAGGGTGCAGCTCAGGCTAAAAAACTGTTGACCTCCTAATGTGATAAGCAAGTTACCTCCTTGTAAACTCTCCACATTCTGTATCCCGTTTTTCCCCTAGCAAAGCAGAAACTAGAGGACAGATTAGCGGCGGCGGCAAGGGAAAAGCTAGCCCAAGCCTCCAAGGAATCGAAAGAAAAGCAGCTTCAGGCGGAACGAAAAAGAAAAGCTGCACTGTTCTTGCAGAACCTGAAGAATCCCCTGGCAGATGCAGAGGTTGAGAAAATGGAGGAGCATGCCTTCAATATAGAGGTGAGCAAAGCAAAGGTGTTTTTAACCATAGTAGCATATACTGCAAAGAACTTTGCTTGGGGCAGGGTAGGAGAGAGAAGCCAGCATTGCTTGAAATGTTAGTATTTATTAGACTTGAATGAAAGCTTTTTCCAGAGGGAAAATAGATCTGAAATTAATAGCATGTTGGGCTACATCAAAGTTGCTGACATGATATAAAAGAAATATTACATTGGGCCAATACTCTCTGTTTCCAGTGTTCCCCCTTTTTTAAAAAAGTGATAAGCTTGCTTCCCCATCCTTCACTATACATCCTTTGAAGTTTCAGCAGTGGCACCCCCAGATTCTATGTGTACACCTTTTGCATCTTGTGTTCTGATGTGAATCACACCCATGGTTAATTTCTCATTCTCTTTAACATTTGTAACCCACCCTTCCTCTGTGGAGCTCATTTTGGGGCTATTCTATTTTTTCCTTACAATAATCCTGTAGTTCAACTTCAGCTGGATATTGACTCACCTGAAGTCATCCAATGAGCTTCATGACTGAGCAGGGATTTGAACTCTGCTCTCCCTTGTCCAGTGCTCTAACCACTACGGTGGATGCCCATGTGTCATAAAATAAGGCTAGCTCACGTTAGATCTAGCATTTGAAATTCTGATGTAGTTTTAAAGCACTAAGGAAAAAAATAAGCGCGTCCCCCCCCAAAAAAAAACGCTCCCGCAAATAACTAAATGGTACCTGAATAACTTGAGATTTCACATTGTTGTGTAAACTGAATATTTTATGTGAATCTCTCTTTTTAAAAGCTACAAATGTTGTGCGATTCCCCCCCCCCCCAATTCCTTCAGGCTTCACTTAAATTCAAGATTCAGAAGTGCTTTTATCAGAATCAAGGCATTTAAGGCAAAATGCAAGCTTTTGCTGGTGTTTCTGGACAAGGATAAGGACACAGTTGGCCCTAGGCAAGTAGTGTGAGAGAAGGGGGCTGTCTGAGAGGCTATGGGGGTGCAGTCACTCTGCCAGTTGCACATCATTTGATTTCAGTAGTGTTTGTGCATTCAGGAGTGATGTAAGCATCTGGCTTTTGTTTTATTAATTACTTTTATCTGCCAAGGTTATTTGTACAGAGTACTCACAAGAGTTCCACTTGGTGCCCACCTTAATGTCTTCTTGGTACTAGGCAAAGGCCTTTTTATTTTCTCAGGCCTTTTAAATCTTTAGATTTAAATCTCTAAACGTTTAATCTTCGCATTATACTGTGGTTTTAGCATGCTTCTACGGCTGTGTGAAATTTAGTGCTTTGACTCTATTAATTGTGTGTGATGTTTCAATCTTGATATATCTGCTTCAAAATGGTTTTTTTTGTATCATTAAAGTGTTTGTTGCTCTAATTTTTGTTGAGTTTTTAAAAATGTATTTAAAAAATAAATTGGTGTGTCACCCAGAGAACTATTGTGTTTGGGTGGCTCTTAAATGAAATAAATAATATTTGAGATAGTGGCAAAGGATGAGCACTTAAATGTACTAGGTTGCTAGGAGCAACCTCAGAAGATCCTTGGGAGCTGAAATATCCGATGGGCTGGAGCAGGCCTAGCTGATGAAAGTTGGAAGCATGTGGCAAAAAAATTAGCAAAGTCAAATTAAATTAGTAAGAAGATGAAACTGCATATTGCTCAGTCTTTGGAGCAAGTGAATATTGGATGGCTAGCAGCAGCCATCCAAGGGCTTCTGTTTGAAGAAGGAGAAAACAAGAAGGAAGGAAACAGTTTTATAACTAAGATCAATAGGTTGTGGGGAAGAGGAGATTCCTCTGAGTATTCCTCATGGACAGTGTATCTAATTATGCATACATGAAGCTCAGTATCTGACACAGAAGTGAGCATTTTGAGAATATCTTTTAAAAAAACATGTTGAGGGGAAAATGTAAGGATTTGTGTGGAGGGACACTTACGGGCTCAGATGCAAAGGCCATTACTGTGGTAGGTCAAGTTGTTTTCAAGCTGTATATCACCACTTATGGGGTGGGGAGAGTGTTGACCAGTAAGTGTCAGCATCTTCCACCTGTGACACATGGTCTACGCAATCAAATTATTAATGAAGTGTGGGATCCAGTTCCTTTAGAAGTTGCAACTTGGGTAAGGTGAGTCAATTCTCCCATGGTCTTCATGCAAATACGTTGCACAACCCTGTTTCCTGATCTGCTTTGACCAGAGATAACAGAGTTTATACCTGGGGTCCTCCGATGCAAAGCATATTTTGAGCTATGGCCCCTCCTCCTCCTTAAGGTAATGCTTGGAATGTTTTCACGAGGGGCTCTAATAGGGCTGTGGTTCAGAGATAGAGCATCTGCTTTGCATCTAGGTTCAATCCACAGCATCTCCAGGTTGGGCTGGGATAGATTCCCGGTCTCAAGCTCTGCAGGGCCACTGCCAGTCAGTGTAGATAATACTGAACTAGACAGATGGTTGGTCTTACTCAATAAAGATTGAATGGGAATATTTTTTAAAAAAATCTGGGATACTATATTGCTGTTGGTTTTTTAAACTCTAAACACTGTGCGTTGTATTGAGCAAGGAAAGACCTTGGGCTTCCAGCGTTGTCCTCCATATCCCTCATAGAAATGCGGCAGGTTGCTGGAGGAGGGAACAGAGCCGACATCCCCTCCCAACAGGCAATTAAAGTTTATTGTTCTTGCTTTTGAGGCTAGTAACGTTTATTTTACTTATTTTACTAGATTTCTTATGCACCCTTCACCACAACGTCCCAGGATGGGTTGCAGCAATAAAGTATGCAACTATAAACAAAACTATCACAACCATAAAACAAATGTAAAACAATAACAAAATTTTAAAATAGCTCAAATACAGATGCAGGCTATGGGCTTATTTATAAGCCTGGTTTAAAAGGTACAGTGGTACCTCGGGTTAAGTACTTAATTCGTTCCGGAGGTCCATTCTTAACCTGAAACTGTTCTTAACCTGAAGCACCACTTTAGCTAATGGGGCCTCCTGCTGTCGCTGTGCCGCCGGAGCATGATTTCTGTTCTCATCCTGAAGCAAAGTTCTTAACCCGAGGTACTATTTCTGGGTTAGGTCTGTAACCTGAAGTGTATGTAACCTGAAGCGTATGTAACCCGAGGTACCACTGTATTCTAAATTCTTGTTCTAAGTACTTAAGCAAATTTTCACATCAGAATTTCTGGCAGCTTCTAGAATCCTGTCTATTTGGGGGGATATATTTTCAGTATTCTGCACATGTTTGCAGTATTGAACAAGAATTTGAAAATTATAACTCTGGGCAGTAAAACAGGTGTGGCAATTTACTCTTTTAAGCGACTATGGGTCAGTGAAATGAGGGGCAGTTGTCTTCTAGAAGGGCAGTTGCCTTCTATTACTGAACATGATGATTATTAGAACTACCACACTGCAATTAAAACTGAATCATTAAACAATTTTTACAGGTGGCTGCCACAGCCAGCTGCCTTGTAGTTAATGGACCATATTGAAAGAATTTCTTGTGATCAATACTCCTAAAGCCTTTTGTGATATCTTGCTGACCATACCCACTTGTGGGCTAATTTTATTCCCATTTTATTTCATTTGCTTTCCTAAAATCTTTTGTGCAAAAATAGCTTTAAACACTTGCCCATGTTGAAAGTATGTGTTGCATTTTAGCATGTGTACTATGCTAAATCAGATCGTCGTCTGGTTTATTGATTTTAAAATAGTATATGATCTCCTTTAAAAAAAGGGTCTACAGCTGTACAGGTATATTTTTAGTTCTGACGTATTTTGAAATAACAGCCCTATAAATCAATAGTAAAGAATTTCTGTAATTCAATTTCATGAAATACTGGTTGCAGCAGTGGCATAATCTAGCACTTATTTAATCTACAGCTACTCTTTAATATTGCCCCTCTCTTGTTTAGTCATTCTCTTGGTGGCATGGTCTACCCCCCCCCCCAATTTTTTCTTTAATATAGAAAATGGTGAAGCTACCAGTATGCCTTTTTGATAAGGATGTCTTGAGCTGGTTCAGTCAAAATATAATTTTTATTTTATTATTTATTTAACGCCCTACACCCGTAGAACTCAGGGTGGTTTACAACATAAAATTACAATATCAACAAAGACAACTCAATAACCCCCCTTTCCACAATACATTTAAAAGGGCATTAAATGTCAATCAGCCAAAGGGCTGGTTAAAGAGGTGCGTTTTCACCTAGCACCCAAAAGTGTGTAAAGAAGGCGCCAGCTGAACCTCCCTGGAGAGAGGATTCCACAAACTGGGAGCCACAGCAGAAAAGGCCCATTCTCTTTTTGCTACTCTCTGGAGCTCTAGTGGAGGAGGCACATGCAGAATGGCCTCAGTGGATGATCTCAGGGTCCACGCAGGGGTTCCACAAGAGGCGGTCCTTGAGGTATAGGGATTTTTGGCCATCATGGAGAAGTAAACATCATTTTGGACAGAATGCAATGCTTATGGGATTCGTTGCTGGAAAATCTGTACTGCAAGCTTGTATTTCAGAATAATGAAGGTAGAGCTGTGCCAAAACCCTGACATATTTCTGTGATGGAAAATTAAACTTTCAATTGTACCTTTGTAAACTCATGTAGCATAGAGGTTGTAGTACAAATAAGGAATTCCCTGGGTTTGAATCTTCCCTATGCAATACGGGGGTAATAATAAAGGCACGCCAACATAAAAAAGCCTTCAAGAGACACAAGTCAAAACCAGTCTCTGCTTCAAGAGTGTTTATAATGTGGGTCTGGCAATAATAAATGCCCCACTTCTGACTAAAGACAGTTAGACATCTGTAACATGGGGGAGATACATGTATAAAGTGTTTTGAACACTCTAAAGTTCTTTTAAAAATTGCTCACTATTACTCGTATTGCCTTTTTATCTTAAATGAAGGAAACCATTGTATGCTAGTGAATTTCCTTCCACTTTAATTTGCTAATTGTGTCCGTACAATGTATGTTCAGTAGCTTTAAGTCTTTAATTAATGCCAAGGA